GTGGAAGTTGAGTTGTAGCCAGTCAAAATTAGGAAACTGGAATGGAAGCCTTCCAAGGTGTTTGTCGTACGTGGCAGGTCCTGCAGGACATGATCATAGTTGTTCCAGAGACCTATTTCGAACAGCGGTGCCAACAGGCGAATTTCTCTCACAGCTCGTACGATATAATTATCTTGAAGTAGCTCAGCACAAGCAGTGCTGCGTTTGGCACGGTGGCAAGAAATTCCTTGAATGCGTCTTCCACATTTGCTGGTGGCACGAAGCGGACTGTTGGAAGCGATTTCATTTGCATGCGGAATTCAGGATTCTGGGAGTCAGGCCAGAGTCCTGAATCTTTTTCCCTACGCTTTGTGCAGGATGGATATGCAAATTACACACCTGGAAACGCGCTCCAGGGCATTCTGAGCAGCCTACTCAAAATCTGTCCTAACGCTCTTGGGTGCAGAGATTCCATGCTGAAAACGAAGTGCTCCAGCATCCTGTTGGAGAGTCGTTCATCTTTTCCCTTGTAGAATCGTGCGTACAAGTGGGATGATTTCTCGATGATAACGCCCGTGGATGCTATGCATCTTCACGTATGAAAAATGTAAGTATCCGGTCGGCATACTGGATAACAATACAACCTTTGAATAACTCACGCTCGTCAGCTTCTTCGCGTCGTTCGTGAGCGCTTTTAAAGGACCCAAGGTGATGCAAGCTGTGGCGGAAGAGCACGTTGTTCTGCGAATCTGAAATTCTGGATTTTGAGAGATGGATCCTCACAAGGAAACTGAGTTGACACACTTCTTTGCGGAGCCCGTGTGCGACGAATTGACGAATCGCTCGTATTTCATCATGGACGCTTGAAATCTTTGGATTCACGTCAGCGAGCGATGCCGGCATTCCGTTTCGAGAACTATTTCAACTCTCGTTTCCTCGTCCATCCTGAAGATGGTGAAACATGAATGAATCTGCGATTTTCCGGGAAAGTTGCCTACCTTTCCTTTCGTGAGGCCGATTTGCAAATCTCATTTCGCTAAGGCAATGCATCAGATGATAAAAATATTCATGCTGAAACCTCACGTTCATATCTTAAAGCGTTTGGTCTGTGGTCACACGCACAAGCACGCAATTGTCGCTCGCCCTAGCTATCGGTCAGGATCGCGCACGCTATAGGTTTAACCTCCGTCCTTCGGTTTGGAATGGACATATCGAAAGGATTCCACGATAACAGATTGTTTCTGTTTCATGATGACAATGACCTTGTATCAGCTCTTTGATGGTTTCATAAACGGGAACAAAGAATCTCTTGTGAGAAACGTGATCGACTGACTACCTGTCGAGGTTCCAACCATGCTGAACAGCGC